TATTAAATAATTAATAATAAATTATTCTTAATTATTCTATATTTCTGATGTTGTAATTTGCTCTTATTTCACATTGTGCGTGGTTGCATTTCACCAGTAGTTAAGTGATCGTATATAAAAATCTATATAGATTGGGATTAAAATGGAAGGAGAAAAAAGCCTATGCAGCCTATTTGTCTGCTATGCAAATTAAAAGATGCAGCATTTAAAGTTCCAGGAAGTGTCAATCGGTGTATTTTGCATATTTATCCATTTTGAGCATTGCCTTATGTGTCTCCATTTGTACGCTTTTCAAAAAAGTGTAGACCTACGTTTTGTAGACCACTTGATGTAAATACAAATACTTAGAACTTACAATGGTCAGGATGCTTCTGCACTCGTTTTGTCCTGAGCTTCCTATTTATGCCTTAGAAGCAGTAGATTATATTAAAACGTGAATACTCTGGATCCTACATTAATTAGTAAAGTAGACAAGCAGTTAGCTGGAGTTGCTTCTCAAAATCTGTACCAGATTCTGAGAAGATCTTGGAAAATGCTAGGAAGATATCTTTCAACATTACCTATCTTAAAATGTTTCTTTGCTATCCCAGGATTACAGTTGGGAATAGAAAAGTGCACTACCTCCCATATTACCTTCCTTGCCCGGAAATCTTGTGAGTATCCCATTTGGTATGTAATTAATAACACAGATCATTTTTACAGGATCTGTACTTCACTGACAGTATCAGTAGTTATTAACAAGTAGCCACTTGTTCTTTATCGTATGAATCTGTAATTAGTCACTCTCTTAAAACAAAGCGGTCATAATGCAACCTTTTCTGCTTCAGTCTGCTTGCCCTTCAGGACGGCTCTGTATTTGTACAGCATGAGCGAGGCCTTTGTTGTGGGTCACAGACGCCGTGAGTAACGGGTTAACATCGGCTTTATTATCAGGGTGTAATCACACACGTGCACATGTACACACAGGATCTCACTGTGCTTTGAGATGTGGATTAAGTATCCCAGCTCGCTAGATGGAGAAACGTTAAGTTAGGTGAAACGTTAACAGGTGAAATGAACAATTGCATAAGGAGTTCTGGCAGAGTTAGGAATAACCCCCCAGTCTCCTAATCACGTTCCTCTTCTTCACCCTGCGGTCTGTGCTTTCCGCTCACTTTAGGAATGTATTGGTGCTATGGCAGCACTTGAGTCATGGACCAGAAGCCTGCTCTGAACAAAATGAAAGGGCAGTTTTAAGGGTTTAAAGGGTCCGCTTCACTGTGTGATGCAAACTAATGTACAGTTAACTGACTTAGCATGGGTCCTAAAAGCTACCTCAAAGCTGCATAAAAGAGAATTTACACTATGGAGGAGTAGGGTACTTGGCCTAAGCGACTTCACTGCTGTATCGGACCATAGCTGTAACATGACAAGCCATGGCTTTTCCCATCCTTTCTCATGACCTACTGGTCTTGTACAATTGAAATAAAAAAATGCAAGTAGAAAAGATGATCTCTTATAGAGGCATTTCTGGTTATTTCAAGCCATTAAAAACCATTGTGTCTGGTAAGGTGCTTATTTCTCTGAATGCTGTTTAACAGGAAGAGTTATGCCGGGAATGGAGCACATACATGGCCAGTACTGGCAGTCCCCAGCCAGCATGTGCTTCCCTAGATTTTGACCCTTAAACTCTGATTTACCCACAGGCTTGGAGAGCTACCAGCATCTCTCTGTCCCTGTTCTGTTGTGTGCTCTATTGCACAACTGTTAGTCGTCTGGCAGCCCTTGAAGGTGCAGGCAATGTCTAACTCTCTGTACCAGGCAGAGCAGCATGCACGGTAACAGGAGACTTGGACAGCTGTCAGTACAGCAGCAGGTCCTGAAGCTGAACCTGGTTCTTGTTTTAGGAAAAGCATTACAATCCCTTTTTTTCCCCACCCCATCATACAGCTCCATGAAACTCCAATATACAGAAGAGAAGTTAATCCAGCTTTTCCCCCAGTAAGTACTGGCTTTTTTATTTCCTGACCTTTAAACTGCTGTTCCTCTCTTCCGGGCATATTCATGTATTATTCAGTGGATATTTCTTCCTTTTACAGATTATTTTATCAGCAACCAAGAGTGCTGGCTCCAAAGTAAGTTTCTTTATTTGAACTTTGTTGTTTGTTTCTGCTGGCTTTGGTTTGGGTGCTCTGTGGCACTCACAGTTTCAAAGTCCTGGTACACACCAAGCAGTACCTTGTTCCAAGAGAAGTCCAACCATATGGGTATGCCTACAGCTGTCTGTCTGCTATAAGATTGAGTTTAGTCACTGTATACTTGCTAACATACCTACTGTAAACTCCCAATTAATACATTAGCACACACACAGAGCCTGTCTACGTGGTTGCTGCCAGGAACTCTTTTCGAGATGGGAGATATCTAATAGCTGGAAGACAGTGAGAAATACCTTCTGGAACTGTGTTGTAGCTGTAACCAGCTGTGGGAGAGCTTTGAATCCATTTCAGGGCAAAATCAAGCAAGTGCCTTGTATGACCTTCAGCAATGGTTTCAGCTAACTTGCTGGATCTTACACTGGAACAAATTGCAGGCACTCACACAGACAAGTCTCTATGACAAGCAGTCAAACCAGTGAGTCTAAACAGACATGGAAGGTTTCAGGCAGCAGCAGCTAAGAAGTGACTCAGGCAAATGCTCCTTGTCAGCTTGTGTTTGTTAACAGTGTCCTTCAGTTCAGCTCCTATGACCTGATCCTTATCTCTAGCAGTTCCTCTCCACCTGTCACTGGGTTTTTTGCATGTTAATAAATACACCCTGTTGGTACACATCTTCCTTCCCGCCCCGCTATTTCAACAGGACAGGCTAGGACTGACTAATTCTCTCTTCCGTATTGGAATAAATGAGTGTGTGAAATCAGCTAGTATATGCTGGACTAAATGAGGAGAGAATCATGTAGCTTTTAGTGCTCTATGTCTTCTGAAGGGAGTTCACTGCATGCACTGAGAGGATGCATACCATGGCAATGAGTCACTGGGAAACCCAGTGCAGCCCTTTGAAATGAAATGGAAAAACAGCCCTGCTTAGAGAAGCAAACGTGCAGATTTCCTTCTCTCTCTTTGCACCTCCAAAAAAGGATAATTAACCCAGAAAGATAACAGCTCACTTAGTACATTTTCTACAAACCAAATTCTTCGTCCTGTATAATTTCATCTTTTAATCATATGCATTACTATAGGCGGGAGTGAAATTGTTATTCTCATATCCACTCAGACTGAAGGTGTTAGATGTGGGTTGAAAGTGTACTGCTGCCTCAGCCATCAAACTGCTCTCCACAGGTTCCTTGATTTGGTTCTTGTACTATTATTGCCTCGGGAGACAGGAGACTGCTTCAGCCTCCAAGTGTGGCCCTGTGCACGCATGACAGATTTCATTAGCAGAGTGCTACAGATCGTGGTCTGGGGCGAATGGGAGCGGGTTAGGGTAAATTAAACATCATAAATGACATCTTGGTTTAAAATCAAAAAGGTAAGAAAGATACCCTGAAAACAAAGAAGAAAGTTGAAATAGCATTGCATAGCTGTAATAGGGCATAATCAGACTCTGCTGCATGTATTTTCAGTATTTCCACTACTCACACAGGAGATTAAGGATTTTCTGTAACTTTGTTACACATTTGAATGCTGTCTCACATACAGAATTTTAAATTAAATCTGAATATGTTAAAGCTATATATAAATACTGGAAAAATAAACTGTCATGCCACAAGCTGTGTTTAAATAACAAGCAACGGGATATATATTTTTATAGTAATTTTCATATTATTGTGTTTTAATCTGTATGTAGCAATCTGCATCAGACTGATAGCAAATATGCATAGCTTCCTGTTCTGTGAGTTCAGTGGTCATTAAACTCTCCTCAGCAGAAAAGTCCGATGAGCTTAAATGAGATTTTAGTAGATCCTTGGGTTTTTGCCAGCTCATTAAACAGCGCTTAATTTCATCCCAGGAACCGAAATGTCCATGCTTGGTAACCTTAAATAAGAGGGCAGGGAAAAAGATCTGAAGATAATACCCTCCATAATGAGTTAATGCTGATACACACTCTTCTTCTAGCTGCATTTTTAGTGTTTCTTTCCCATTTACCGGCCTTGAAACAAAAAGGAAGAGTTACATTTCATTAACATTCCCTTTCTTTTCCTTCAGGCGTCAGGATGTGCTGACAGTCACACCATGGCTGGCCCCCATCATCTGGGAAGGAACCTTCAATTCTGAGATACTAGACAGTGCCTACAGGCCACTGAATCTCACCATAGGGGTGACAGCCTTTGCCGTTGGAAAGTAAGTGAACCGCTCAGTGAGCACAGTTCGTGGGTTTCCACCTCCTCTGTGGAAAGATCTTTTGGGCTTTTCTTGTCCTCAGCAGAGCTGAAATCTGTCCCAATCTGTAGTAAACTTTTATGCCCATGTATTGGGTCCATAATCATACAAGCCTACAAGGTAACAGACTCTACACCCAAGGTACCTGAAGCATGGTCAGTATTTTTGAAGAACTAGCATGTACCTTGGGAATTAGAGCTGTAGATAGGTGGTTGGTTGGTCAAAGCAGGGATAATCCACTTATTCCTTGTCCTCCACTATGCTTTTACCTATTGCATGTATAGTGTACGGATCCTTGCAGCAATAGCTAGTCAACACTCTTCATCCCTTGTCGTCTTCCATTTGTTAAAGTACCCTTCATAGTCCACCATGCATCCCCTTGTCTCTGCTGTGCTATTCACATGTTGTGTCTGCACAGATACACAAGGTTTGTGGGCCGCTTCTTGGAGTCAGCAGAGAAACATTTCATGAAAGGCTATCGGGTGAACTATTATATCTTCACTGACAACCCTGAGACAATTCCCAACGTCCAGCTGCAACCTGGACGAAGGTTTGTTATTGTCCCCATCAAGAAATACCCCAGCTGGCAAGAGATCTCCATGCGCAGGATGGAGGCCATAAACAAGCACATAGCAGAGACGAGCCATCGGGAGGTAGACTACCTCTTCTGCCTGGACATTGACATGGTGTTCTACGATGCCTGGGGGCCTGAGACCCTGGGTGATATAGTGGCAGCCATACACCCTGGCTATTTCCATGTCCCTCGAAGCCAGTTCCCTTACGAGAGGAGGAGCTCTTCAGCAGCCTACATCCCTGATGGAGAGGGGGACTTCTACTATGGAGGAGCCGTGTTTGGAGGGCTGGTCAAGAAGGTCTATGAGTTCACCAAGACTTGCCACATGACCATCCTGACGGACAAAGCCAATGGGATTATGGCAGCCTGGCAGGAAGAAAGCCATCTCAACAGGCAATTCCTCTCCCACAAACCCTCCAAGGTGCTTTCTCCAGAGTATTTATGGGATGACAGGAAGCCAAAGCCCCCTGAAATTCACCTCATCCGTTTTTCCACAGTGGATAAAAACTACAAAGAGATACGAGATTGACCATCTGATCCCTGCAGAGATGTCCTCCACACAGTCAAACCCACTGAATATTAGCTCCCGCAGAACATCCCCGTCATGAATTTTTGTTCCCAGTGTGAACAAACTGAGAAAGGAACATGTGGATAGTTTCTCTGGAGAACAGAATGCATTTCAGAAGCAGCAGCCAAAGTGGAGGTGAGAATGAAAAGGTTTCTAGGTTCCTAATCTTTGTAAATACAAGCATCCCGCTTGAGGCTGCAGCACACAAAAAAGCATGCAAAAAGGCCACTTACGAAATGCAAGGCTGTCCTTATAGCAAGGCTGCAAGTGCCTTTGCCTGAGTGTTTTCCTGAGGCCTAACAGAAACTTAGCAAGAGCAAAATCATATTTGACATTCCTGTGGAGAAGGAGAAGACCTAGTTTTAGTAAAGACCTTTTAACTTAAAGAATTTTGCAGGGCAAAAAAATTTCATGCATTGTGATTTAAGCTCATACCCTTTATCAGGATCAGGAGGAAACTTGTGCTGGGAGCAAGTTATCCCTGATCAGTGTGCAGCAGGATTTCTTGGACGTTCTCAGCAGAGAGCTGGTGCCAGCCATTGGCAGTAAGAACCCTGGTCTGACAGGACAAATAATGTAAATCCATATAGCAGTTATCTTCCAAATTCCAATCTGTGTTTTGGAGACCCAAGTTTAGACAGAACTGGCACAGCTCACACCCAGACTGAACTTCTTTGGGTTTATTTCAATCACAGATGTGCTCTGAACCTTTTCCCTGGTTCACATGTCTCTGTAGATCATGTAATCTTTTCCAACACAGAAAATCTGGTATTGAGAAGTTCATGTTCCTATCCGTCGCTTCAGTCCTTTCCAACTTTTGTAAGCTCTGTGAAATAAATTGGCTTCGAAGCTGCTGGAACTGCCAGTAAGAGCTGATGCATTTGCAGCAAACAGGGTGATTTCATTTTATAATGAAATGCTCTAGTGAAACTGTGAGTTCAGTCTAGAGCTGGAAGTAGGCTGGGGTTAACATTTTCTTTGCGTGAATGCGATGAGAAGCTGAACCAGGCGTTTTGCAGCCTTTAAAGCCTGACAGCTCACTCGGGTGAACAGGCCGGGGGGGTCCAGACCCAGGGGAACAGCCACGGCTTGCCAGCGACGACTGTCTAATTGTCAACTGAGGTCACAGCGTGGAGGTTCACGTGCCACCTCCCTTGCCGCAGCGCGTCTGCCATAAACATCTCTGTTACCTCCTGAGGCATGCTACAAAAGGGCCGTGCAAGTCTGTGCCATGCTCATTTAGTGTGAGCAAGCAGAGGGACCACAGGGAGCAGCAGAGAATGGCAGGGCTGTACGGCGCAGAGAGGAGAAGCTGGGGTGAAAGGGCTAAGCTGACTGTTTCTAAGGGAACGGTTTTAAAAAAAGAAAAAAAAAAAAAAAGACAAGAAAAAAGGCTCATTTGGCAGAGAGAGAGAAAATGGGGAAGAGGTGCCTGACTGTTCTTGCTTCTCTGCACATGAGAAAATTGCTGTATGGCAGTGTATCAAGTATTCAAAGCTTTAGGGCCCCACCACTGATTGCAGATGACTTAACGAGCCATTTCAGTCCTGCGTGAGCAGGCTGAAAATGGCACTTACCAGTGTCATTGTAGGCATTTCATCTTCCAGAAGACTAACTAGAAAAGCTTTCACAGTACCCATAATATAGATAAGGTACACAAAATACCTCCAGCCCAAAACCCATAGTGGCAGCTGGGTCTGTTGATTGATGCTTTACCCAGCAAAGGGTCCTACCCTGCTCTGTTTTCTCTGGACCGCTCTTAGGGCTGTGGTGCTGGAGGAAGGCACCCCTCTACATAACTAAACCAGAACTGAATCTCCTGTGAAGATGTCTATGTTTGGTAACCAGGCCAAAAGGGTGAAGAAAGATCCTTATCCAAATATTTCCAAAAAGATAGATTCCCACCAAACCCAGGATTAATACTGTGTGTTTCTTATTTGTAAAACAGTTGTGCCCAAAGGCCATGACTGAAACTAGGGTCTCATTATGCCAGTTGCTATATATATGCATATGGATTCTTTTACAAGGCAGAAGGAACGGTCTAGTGTGATCTGCACAGGACAAGCCAGATAATTTTATCTCCCGATGTCAGTATCAAGCTCACAATACATAGCTGGGCTGTGCTAGATCTCTTAGAAACCTGTTAGATCTCATTCAGATCCACTAAAAACATGAAGTGATATAGCAGTCACAAATCCATAGGTCGGCTGTGACAGTGGCTAATTCCCCTTATGCCTTAATTCTGCTCTAAATTGATCTGTGTTTGCAGCCTGTATTTGCAGCCATTGGGCTTCATTCTGCCATACTAAATTACTTGAATTCCTGTGCAGATATTCATAGCCTATGCTAAATCCACCACGAGAGGAAGTTCTCCAGCACAAATGATGTGCAATAGAGGGTGGTCTATGTTTCTGGGATACCTGCTCTGAGAAGCTTTTGTGAAAGGCTTGGTCTCCATCTCTACTTCCCAGCCACCTTTTGGCTGAATCCAAGACCCTGTGATTGACGCGGTAATAGCCTGATTTGTGCAGTGCCAAACATGTTTATCTTCCTGGCAGGCCCGCAGCTTCTCCCCAGGGGAAGATCTTGTGTCACATGTTATGTGGCACAGTTCTGCTCGGCAGGGCTGTGATTTGAAGAAGTACCTAAAAACTCCCTGTCCCCAGGGAGCAGAAGAATGTGACTGCAGAAACACACTCCCCAGTGCAGTGTGGGAGGTGGTCCCTGACTCAGCTCATGCCCTCTTCTAATTAATGAAAGCCTGGACTTCTGTTGTCGTCTCCTGCTGATTAATCCCCTTCCCCCAACACCAGCAGCAAGCTTTCCTTCTCTCATTTGGACTGTGCAGCCTGAGGCTTGTGGGCAGTGTGGGAGCTTCACAAGGACCTACTTTCTGATCTGAATTCCCCATCAACATCCATTGCTCAGTGGGGAAACTGAGGCATACGGTAGCAAGGCAGCAGACCGGCACTCTTGCATGTGAAGTCTTCCTCCATTCACCACAGGGACCAATGCTGTCTCACGTGTCCTTGTGCCAAGGGAATTTGGGCTTGGAAACACACACGCAGTACTGCGTGAAAAGTGAATCACCACATGTAACTAAATCACCAGCCGATTTACACTGCCTGAGGAGCTGATCGTGCTTTCACGGTATTTCTGACTCAAGCCCTGTTTGTCCTTAACCAAGCCTCAGATCAGTAGCTTGTTTCCTTCCCAAGGGCCCCTTGTTCCATCCGTCCCTTTCTCCTCGGCTGGAACAGACTCATCATTCATTGTCCATCTAATTTAAGAACCCATCTGACAGGCTTTTTCTTTCCTTGTCCCGGCTGGTGATTTGCAGGGTGCATTCATCCCCAAAGGGAAGACTTCTCTAGGGGGCAAGAAACAGAAACTTCCAGCACTGAATATGATGCTAGGTGCAGCCAGACCGTGATCCTCTCATTCTCCCCACTGATAGAACAAGAATCATTTCCACTAAGCCAGACTTGCACTCCTATTTGGATTTCCCTTAACCCTCCCACAGGTGGTATTGCCTGACATTATTGACCAGAAATGTTGTTTTGAACCACTTTGATATGCAGCAATAGTTATGAAAGGACTGGCCTAGTCAAACTTTCTCTTGTGTGAGATCTGTGGCTGGGGGGCACGGAAATGAAATGGTCTTTGAGCAGACACGGATGAGGAAGGCTAAGAACCTCAGTTACACATTCCCTGCACAAAACCAGCTTGGAGAATAGCCATGTGCATCTGGCTGGCCTAATGCAGCAAAAGCAGCGCGGTGGTGGAAAGGAGCTGGAAGGCTGTGAGCTCCCTGCCGGAACGGCTGGTTTTACTCTCCTGCCCTTTGTCGTACCTGTTTAGCCTGTGGCTTTTCAGGGAAGGGACTGTCTCTGCTTCTGTGTCCGCACAGGAACTAGTCTTGGTCGCTCGCTAGCGGTTGTGAGACGCACAGAGGGAGTTTCTCTCTTAGCAGGGATTTGCTGTAACCTCAAAGGGCAGCTCCAGGCACCGGGGTTACTATTTTCTCCCCCCTGCTCTGCTTCACCTCGCTGCCCCAGCAAGTCCCCGTGGGATCCCCGGGGGTGAAACACACGGAGAGCAACAGCTGCTCTCCAGGTGGAGTGACAGTGACAGTGACGGGCGCTTTCGGGGACAGCAGGAACTGGAGAAGGAGTTTACAGGAGTGGGTGGCACTTCACTCACGCTAAATCCCCAATCCTGCACTTCTGCTCCACATGCAGGTCCACACAATCAGATAATTTAGGAAAGCATTGCTAGCAAAATGTATCGAAGAAGTGACTTTTAAATGTCTGCCTACCCACCCGACTCCCTCCTTTCTCTAAGTGTAAAAGCGATGCTGTACTGACTTGACTTTTCTTGGGCTATATTTAGATTAAATATAGATCCACCAAATGTCGCTGTTTCATGTACAACCAGTATAAAGCCATATGAATAGAAAGGCAGTTTTAACCAGAAATCTTTGCTGCTTGTATGCCCACCTGATCGCCCCTGACCCCTTCTGAACCTTTAACTAATTTGAAGCAAGTCAGATGAGTACAAATTACTTTTTAAAGCTGCTTCATTCTGTTTTTTTTTTTTTGTAGTGAGTTTTGCCAGCAGCAAATTACATAGTTATAGACCTTTTGAAGTATGTGTTTTTCCCACCGTTCAGCACTGACACCATTACTATAATTAGAATGATGTTGCTCCGTAGCAGCATCTAGTGCCAGAGCGAGAGGCCTGGCAGCACCTTCTCCTTTCCTGGCTACGCTCCCCAGCCGGAGCTGCTGGTTCTGCTGGCCTGGAGCCACGGAGGAGCGGGACGGTGGGATGTGCTGGGCTGTTCCTCGTCACCAATTCCCACTGCGACCCTGGCAAAGTTGGTTCTTCCCGCTCAGCAGCTCCTGGGGCAGGGAGCTGCGGGATGCGGTGGCACTCTGTGGGTGCCGGGTGCGTGTCTTGGTCCCCAAGGAGCGTGGTGGCCGGCTCCGCAACCCCGGAGCCAGGA